CCTCCGAGTGTGGGGACGTTCGACCTCCACGTGGAGACAGAGCCCAGGGAGTGCACGGGGGACGCCAGCGCCCGCTTCCGCCTCCTCCTCCGGGCACGGTAGGGGCTGGGGGTGCCGCCCGGGTTTGGGGGGGCCGGGGGAAGCCCGGGGGGTGGGCACCCCAACCTCACCTGGGGCTCTGCCCTCGCAGGTACACCGGGGACCGTCCAGCCACCAACATGGTTGTCATCGAAGCCAAGCTTCCATCAGGCTACATCCCGGAGAAGAGCTCCATGGTGGAGGTGAGAAGCCCCTGCTGACCCCAGGACCCCCTCTGGGGTACCCACCGAGCACCCCGTGCCCATCCTGAGCCGTCTCCCTCCAGCTGAAGCAGCAGAAGCTGGTGAAGAAGGTGGAGGTGCAGCCCGACCAGGTGACCATTTACCTGGACCAGGTGAGATGGGGCATGGGGACGGGAGCAGAACCCCGCGTGCTGGGACATGGGGAAATTTCCCCATCCCCGACGGTTCCAACTCACCCCTGGGCTGTCTCCGCCGCAGCTGACGGAGGAGGAGGAGACCTTCGCCTTCACCGCCACCCAGGACTTCCCCGTGAGGAACCTCCAGCCGGCCACCGTGACGCTGTACGACTACTACGAGACGGGTGAGCTTGCCAGGGACATGTCCCTGGGGTGCCTGAACCCGCTGCCACCCCCTGGGACCCTGATGGCTCAGACGGGGTCTGGCTGAGCTCTCGGTTCACACTGATGAGCTTCAGCTCGTTAATGGGAGCGGCTCACCCTGAGCCCATGGGTCACCGTCCTTCCTGTTGCAGATGACCGTGTGGATGCTGCCTACAGTGCACCTTGCAGCTCAGGTAGGGGCTGAGCCTGGTCACCCCCCATGGGGACCCTGATGGGGACCCACACACCCTCAAGGACCAACCTGGGCTGAGCTCAGCTCCTGGACCCCCGGGAGCCCAGCCAGGAGCCCCAAGTTGATCAATGAGGACTTGCTGGCCAGAATCTGGTGGGGCTAGAGGTCAGGGAGGACCCAGGGGATCTGGGCTGTGGGGTGCAGAGAGGAGCTGTGCCTCTTTGAGGGGGCTCAGCCCCCCATCAGACGTGGCTTTCCTCCTGTGGCCCCTGCAGAGCTCCCCTCCGTGGGTCTGGGGTCACACAGGGGCTGAGACACAGCTCCCGGGGCTGGAGCTCAGCAGGAGGGACAGGGACAGCCAAGGGTGGCTGGGGGGCAGAGGGGCTCCCCTCACAGCACCCCGATATCTGATTTTGAAGACGCTGATGGTCAGCAGAAGGAAAATTCCTAGCACCGCCCGACGCCTAGCTGCTGGCCCCTCCGCTCGCCCCGACTCCCTCAACCACCGAGGACTAGGACGGCCTCTGCTCCCACCCTGGCCACGGCCCCGACCCTCCATGGGGCAGAATGTGGCCCAGAGATGGTCCCAGC